TAGTAGTAAGAACATTCTATTTTTGTATCATGGAAATAATTAATATCTGGGTCGGAGTTTTCGTGTAGTGAAAAAAATTTTGTTTCAAAAAAATTGAAGACAAGAGTTTCAAAGTCACTTATTAAAGCCATGATTAATTATCACAAATAAATTAAAAAGGAGTTCTTATTAAGAATGAGCGCATTTACTTTCGAAATTCTCTAGAAACAATTTTATCATACTTTATAACTGCATACTTACCTTCAAGTCGCAACTTTTTGACCTCTTCCCACAACATCCTTCGGCTTTCCATCGTTTCTTTAGCGAAATCCTCATTAACATATATCCCAGTTCCTCTCAAGTTTTTTGTAGCGTTAAGTATTTTTGTTTTGTCTTGAAAATTTAATAACTTTAGGACAATCGTTCTTGGTTTCTTATCTTCTTTAGGTTGGCCTATTCTATGAGCTCTTTCTATGATAATTTCATTACTAATTTTTAGTTGTTTTTTAAACATTTCCTTTACTGCATTTTCGCACTCATTCCAATTTTCATTTGGCTTTTCAAATATTCCATCTAATCTTAGGTTGTTTCTTCGAGATCGATTCTCCAAATCTAGTGTCTTCTTATTTAAGTTGTTTATCTCCTTTTCGTAACGCTTCGTGATCTTATTTATTTTTTCCATAATAGTTGTTTCTTGGAAGTTAAGACTTTCTTTAAAATCGCGAAGGTCGTTTTCTATGCTTAAGACTTTGGATTTGTTTACATCTACTTCTTTTTCAATTTTGTCTAACCGATTAGTGAGTATTTTTAAATTAGCACTAATTATATCAGTAAAGTTTTTCTCTTGATCTTTTAACAGGCGTTCTGTTTTTTTTAAAATACTCTTTTTTTGTTATTCGAGTTTGTTTGTAATTAACTTCTCGATATTTTTTAATGTAATTTCCATTATTTTTAAAATTAACTTTAAAACTTATAAATACAAATATATAATGTATTATTGTTAAGGTTCTTTATTCGTTTTTCTTTTATGATTGTTTCGATAACCACGGATTAAAAAAAAGTTGATTGAATACTCAATTAGGCAGCCATCTTTGTTCGCCGTATGTCCGTAAAAAAAAAAAAGATTTTTAGTTCTTTTGTCAATAAAAACAAAAAGCAACATCAACAACAAGAAAAGAACAACATAAATTAAAAAGAATAAATAAATAAATAATAAAAAAGTTAATAATAATACACGGTAGAATAAAACATTTATAATAAATGCTTAAAACGAAAATCAAAGCAAAATATATATAACACTATAAAAAAATTAAATATCACATTTAAAAATAATTAAACAACTAAAAAATAAAATAATAAATGACTAAAAAAAAATATTAAGTAAATTTTTATACGCTAAAAAACTAAAGAAAAATCATTACTATAGTAATGATTTTTCTTTAGTTTTTGAGCGTATAAAAATTTTTTAATTAAGCGTTCTTGTATACAAGACCGCTTAAATAAAAAGTAATTCGTAAACAAAGAACCCTAAAAATTTATGAAAGAAAACTGAAGAAATATATGTAATAAAAAAAAAGATATATATGAAAAAATACACTTTGTTTGCCGATCTTTTTTCGACGTATAAATTTTTTCTTTCTATTCTTTTTATTTATTTTATTCATTAACTTTTTTCTTAACTTCTATTTTCTATACTAATTTTCTTTTAGATGTTTCTTTTTTTTTTTTGTTATAAAATATTTGTTCTTCTTTTTACTTGATGTTATTATGCGTTTAAATTATAAATGTTTTCTTTTCCTTTTTTTCCCTTTTTAATAATGAAGCAGATTCCTTTTTTCCAAATTTCCTCCGGGGCTTCTTATAGCAACAAAAAAAAACTTTCAAGTGGTTTTGAGATAATTTAAATATTCCAAAGACTATAATCACCATTTTGAAAATAATAGTTCCATATTCCTATATAAAATTTCAGGTTTCATCCCAAAAAATTTGGGTTTCATCCCAAAATAGTCTGTTTTACTTAAAGGATGAGAATTTCCATTTTTAGCACATTTATTAATTTCTTATCAGTTTTGAGATACGTGAAGGATCCATGAAAATATAAGTTGGTTTTCTTTGTATCTGGGTGTGAAAAGTAAACTAAACTAAATAACTAAAGTTAACTGATAAATTAGCTTTAAGATGTTTTTTTCAAATTCTCAAAAAATTGATTTAGCTCCGTCTAAGGACAGCTCTGTAGTTAAGAAAGAGACTATCTAATTTCCACAGTAATTTCAAAAAAAGTAGCATCATATTTTTGATTTTTCAATTTCTTATTTTTTTATATATAATTTGCTTTTATATATAATTCAAAATTACTTGGAAAATCAAAAATTCTTGGTGTAAGCTCCTTTTTAAGTTTCTTTTTTGAACTCCAACCGATATCAACGTATGAATGTAGTAAATTGCTTAAAACAAAATTTTGAATTCTTTATTAGATTAGAGTTTCTTTATTAGATTAGAGCAAACCTTTTATTTTGTAACAACAAATCTTTTGGAAATGTGTAATGTAAAATATTCTTCATAATTAAAAATAGCATTTTACATGTTTATTAAAAGTTAAATGCATTTTGTTTGTTTATTAAAAATTAACATATAGCAATCCAATAAACATAATGGTTTGGACATAAAAAAACTAGATTATTCTATATAGTATACGATGGTGTATTCTTTTAGAGCATATAACTTGATGCGTAGAATTCAGCGCTTTACGGAACCGATACTTGTGCTAAAATTCTTTGCACGCCTCTTGAAGTTTGCTAATAGTCAGTGAGGAAAAAAAAATATTTTGTTGTTTTTTTATCTATAATTATATAGCATTATAGATACTTTTTTAAAATCTAGAATAGTTAACTTTAATCAGTATTCTTTGATTACAATGACAATAATTTTAAGTGTATTTTTTAATGACAACAACTTAGTTGTACTTTGTGCAAACCTTGAAGATATGCTAGTGATTTTTCTAACCTATTCTCAATTTTAAGATTGCATATTTTCTTTGCACCTGTCAACTGTTATTAAATATTTTTATGCACCACATACCCTATTTTGTGCAGCACTTTTAATACCTTAATTTTATTTTGACGTTTTTGTTTTGAGAGACATTGGGGGAGTGGGGGAAGCGTATGAAGAGAGATCTTGATTTGCTTTTACAAATCTAAGTATTTATTACTATATACTTATATCAATTTTCATGGTTAAACAGCTTTAGTAAATGTGATTATTGAAAATAATTTATTTAGATTTAAATTAAAATTTTAAAAAAATTAAATAAAAATGACAATAATTCTAATTTAGTAATCAAAACTTCTCTTATATAATTTTTTTAATTTCTTTTAGTAAATGATAAATCATTAAACTTCTAGTAATATTATTTACTAAAATGATTCAAATAAATAAATAAACTAATTTTCTTTTTATAATATATTTTGTTATGTGAGCTGAGACCCAGCAGGCACTGTGACGTGACAAAAACGTGTATTTCACTTTACTTTTGGTACGTGACATTAAGGTGACTTTTTATTCCCCATGAAATGACCAAAAAACGTGATTTATAGACGTCGCAGCAGGCACAATGACGTTGAAATAACGTTGAAACAACGTCGCAAACCGACCATATACCACGTTGAAACAACGTTGAAATTTGGTTGAATTGGAAATAAAATCCGACGTCGAAAACTACGACGTTGAAACAACGTCGATGATTACGTCGTTTCAACGTTAATCTAACGTCTTATCGACTACATATCAACCATATTTCAACTTTGAATAGGTGATATATTTGATTGATAAGTAGTTGATAAGACGTTAGAACAACGTTGAAACAACGTAAATTCAACGTTGATTTTTGTTTTTTATTTTAGTTAAATCCAATTAACTAAAAAATTATCTCAACTTTAATTGCAATAAAATAACACAAAAAAAAGCAATAATTTGCGCAGAGGATATTATATTTCACGTAAATTAATCAGATACAACTAAATTGCTTCAACGGACTTTATATACAATGCAAATAACGTAAAATGTTTGAAAAAAAGTTTTATTTATCAGTAATATATTTATCAATTTATCAATAATAACTATTATCAATAGTTCCAAAACAACTAGGAAAAAGTATGAATATTATACATCGGGTAAATCGCCTTTTACGCGCCGACCACCACCATTTGATCTGTCGAGTGCGTATTTTAATAAAGTCATTATTCCTTTTCTTACTTCGGCAACTGTAGCAGTCACTTTAATTAACATAACGCTCTCTATAAAAAAGGTATTGCCTGAGTAATTTACATCAAATACATCAAAAAGTTAAAAAAATAAATTTGCATTAAAAAAACGAACTGCGATTTTTTAAAAATATATAACTTTACACTTAATTTACAGGTAAATACCTAATGTTTGTTCCTTTAAACTTCTCTTTACCTTTACCGCCAGCCATATTAAATTTTGATTATAAACCATTGGTTAACAACCTGCATTATACATTGTTATTATTATTATAGTTACATTAAAAATTGATAAACATGTCTTTTACAAAATACAAATTATTCTCAATGAAAAATTGCACAAACCGCAAAGGTTTCTTACCAAACCGTAATGCAAGTAAAAAAAAGAATTGATACAGGGGAAGAGTTTGGTCCAAGAAGACCACCTTCTAAACGCAAGAAAACACCGAGAGCGGACAGTATAATCTGAAATATCTGCCTGGAAAAGAGAAAAAAAGCCACTAAGCTTATCCATGAAGCTGTAATTGTTGTGTCAGACCGGACCATTTGTAGAAGGCTAAAAGAAGAGGGATTGATGCCCAGCCAAAAACGTCAAAAATTGACAAAAAAATTTAAAAATAATTTCAAAAATCTTATATTTATGCAAGATGGTGCAACTTGCCACACAATAAAAACTGTTATGGCTTAGTTGATGTATTGCTATAGCCAGACAACTCGCATGATCTTAACCCCATAGAAAATATTTGGGAAATAGTAAAGCAAGAGATTGGAAAAAAAAAATCTTATTAATAAGCAAAATCTTATGGAAGAGATAATCAAGATCTAGCATAATAACCCAGAGTTGACAGAAACTATAAAAAATAAATTGCAAGCATGCCCCAATGCAATGAAGCAGTTATTGCAAACAAAAGTGTTTTTGCAAAATATTTATACTTTATATATATTTTATATAATTTATCATAATAATCAATAAATATTCAAAATGTTCATCTTTATTTATTTATTTTTATCAAGTACAACTTTATAAATAAAAGAAAAAACTTTAAATTGCACAATTATTATTATTATTATTATTATATATATATATATATATATATATATATATATATATATATATATATATATATATATATATATATATATATATATATATATATATATATATATATATATATATAATATATTCATATAAGCACATGTATGTATATATACATACATATATATGTATGTTAATTTATGTACATATAAATGTATGTATATATAGAGAAAAAAAAAGGTTAAGTATGCGTTACAAATCAACCTTTGTACTTTAAGGTTGTTCTTTAGCTCAAGGAAATACAAAATTAAGAGAAAACAGTTACAAAAAAAATTATAATCAGACATAAAAAAAAAAGATTTATTTTATGTCTGATTAGAATTCGTCAAACTTTTAAAAATATATGCTACACAAATTTTTAACACAAGTTTAAAACAAACTATAATAAAATGATTCAAAAGATTTTTTATTTAAAACTACTTTTAACAAACCTTTGCATCACATGTATTTGTATTTGTCTTAATGGTTTTACCTCCAATTTTAGAAAGTTTGTTAACCTAAAGGTTTAAGAAAATAATTACACCACATTATTTTTATAGTATATTTATAAAAAGATACAAGTAGATTAACTTAGGCTAAGTTATTAATAAATACTTAATCAAAAAACAATAGAAAAACTCCAAAAAGTCATGGTTTGAAACAACCCATCACTTCTGACCTCACCCAAGAATCATTTAAACTGTTATCATAATCATTAAATTACTGCTGAAAGTTCATCCATAGAATTTCAGAACTATTTGTCATGATATTACTTTAATTACTGGAAAGAGTTTTTACTAACATCTCTTTCTAACAATAAAGATATATCAGAAAGACAAAAGAACCAAACATTAATTAATTTCTAAAAGTGTTAAAACACAAGAACAAAAAATTTATAAAATAAAACATTATTCATAAATTAAATAAAATGTATTAATTTAGCAACAAAAGAAATGTGTAAATCACTGAAGCATAGAAAAAAATGTTCATAATTTTTTCTTCCTAAATCAACTTGCAGACAGACAATTAATACCTTGAGCTACAGTATGTAGAGTATGCATAAAAAATATTTTTTGTTTCTTTTTTTGCATTACAGGAGTAGGTATTTGCTTACTATTCTGTTAGTTATTATGTTTTCTGTTGCATAAGCATGGTAGTGGCTCCTATAAAAATTAATATCAAAATATAACTAATAATACTTGAATTAAGTATCTTTTGAAATAGTTACCATTTTCTGAACCTGATTCTATCTGAGTATCACTAGTAGAGGCAAATTCAAATTTAATACATAACTCATGATCTAAGAATATTCATTCAATTTAAAAATGTTTTAAATACATTATATAATAAAAAATATATAATAAAGAATATATCTAAACACTGAAAACAACATATACAGAATGAAAGCATGTTAAAAAAACAAGGAAAAAAAGTAATGACTTAAGGTTTATATAAAAAAAAATTACATTATCTCCATGACATTTAATTTTGAGCAGCGTAAATCAGTATTAGTTAGATGCAGTTTATGCATTTCATTGAAACAATTTATTACATTTAAAGCTGACGAGCAGCACAAAAAATTATCAATCAAATTTTCTCTCTTTATTTCTCTGTATTTTTTATCCAAACAGCTCGAATGAATATTTTGCATGCCCTACTATACTCTTTCAACTGGAAAAGTATAGTAGAAAATATAATAGAAAAAATACTTATATATTAAAAATTTGTTCATGTAAAATAGCTAACAGAAAAATACAACTTTAAACTGTACGTTATGATACATTATACAGTTGCTAAAATTTGCTAAATTTTTATGTTGATCTTTTCACCAATATTATGGACTAAAGAAGCATCTACAAATTCTTTTTTATACAACTTTACAAGAAAAATCTTTGAAAAATTTAATAAAAATTTTTTAATATAAAAAATATTTAAACTCTTTAAATCACATGGATTGGTAAAAAAGCTTGATAAATCATTATTTTGTAAAACATCATGTATATATAAATATATATATATATATATATATATATATATATATATATATATATATATATATATATATATATATATATATATATATATATATATATATATATATATATATATATATATATATATATATGTATATATATATATATATATATGTGTATATATATATATATATATATATATATATATATATATATATATATATATATATATATATATATATATATATATATATATATATATATATATATATATATATATGTACATATATATATATATATGTGTGTGTATATATATATATATATATATATATATATATATATATATATATATATATATATATATATATATTAAATAAGAAAAACATATATAATATATATTTTATATTTATATAATATATCAAGTAGTCTCTACTTGTAATCCACACTCATGAAATAATACGGTCATAAAGAAATATTCATTTAATATTTACCTAACTAACTGCATCACAAGTTAAGCCATGTATTATTGTTAAATTGTCAAATTCAAAACATTATAAAAAGGCAACAGATGACCTAATTTATTAGCATTTGTGACTTTACTTGTTTTTATTGGGCTAATAAGTAACTTTTTAAGTCTTTACTTGTTATTTGTTATGCTAATAAAAAAATTTTAAGTCACGCATGCGTACTTTAGTTCTTATATTGCAATTACGAACGGTCGAACTCGTAATGTAGACGTTAAATTAACGTTAAATTAACGTGTTATTTGATAGTTTTAAACAAATTTTTCAACGTGGATACAACGTTGATTTTAGGTTATACGACGTCGCGCCTAAAAATTAACTGTAAATCAACGTCGAAATAACGTCGTGTGTCCACTGGGCGTGCTTTTCACGTTACTTTTGGCACGTGATATTTAAGTGACTTTTTAGTCTCCATGAACTATAAAGAGACCAATAAGTTGCCTAAATTTTACGTGCCAAAAGTAACGTGAAAAACAAGCGCTTTTCAAGTTACTTTTGGCACATGATATTTAAGTCATACTTATGACCGAAGTACGTGACTTATCGTTGTATTTTTCACGTATCTTTGAAACATGCTAATAACGTGCCATTCTAGTCATTTTTTAACGATAAATATCTCTTTATTGCAAAATTTAAGCTTTAAAGTTGTTTTTGGATTTGTTTAAAGAAAAATTCAACGTCGAGGAAATATTTCATACGTATTAAATTACATGGTTTCATTAGTTTTATATTTGTAATAAATGCAAATTTTATATTTGTAATAAACGCTGTATTTTTGTTCAAATATCATCCTTATATCAATTAAGTAAAGGTTCAAAGTCATAGATCTGCTTCCAACTTACGAAGAGCACGCTTCAAATTTTATTTCATGAATCAGTCGATATTTTTTTCCCTTAGTAAATAGCGACACTAAATTTAGCTATAAAGTGATTAAGTAAATGATTGATTGATTAATTGATGATATATCATTTAAAACTTTCTAACTTGTCCATGTAATATGCTTAATTTAACATTATTAAGTAAGTAATTTTTAGAAGCTTATTGATTCCTTTATATGTTTGTATATATTAAACGATTTGATGAATTTTTATGTTATATCATATGTAATATATATACATATATATATATATATATATATATATATATATATATATATATATATATATATATATATATATATATATATATATATATATATATATATATATATATATATATATATATATATATATATATATATATATATATATATAACATATAATATAACATAAAAATTCATCAAATCGTTTAACATATACAAACATATGAAGAAATCAATAAGCTTCTAAGAATTACTTACTTACTAATGTTAAATTAAGTATATTACATGGACAAGTTAGAAAGTTTTAAATGATATATCATCAATTAATCAATCAATCATTTACTTAACTTTATAAAATAAAATTAGTACAAAGCAAGGATCAGTCACAAACAAGTAGGTAACTGACAAAAACGTGACGACCTATATATATATATTAATAATAAGTTTGAAAAAATATATAAATTAAATAATAAATGAATAATATACATTGCAATAATAACAGTAGTAAAAACAGTAATAAATAATAATGTTAGTTATAGAGATACTAATAATCCTTAAACAATAACAATAAGGGTATTGAAGTAGTCGTTTAGGGAAGTGCTATAAATAATACCATATAAGCTATACCTACATTTAAGATTCAGTCACTCTTAAACACATATGCACATAGACACGCATATACATATATATATATATACATACATACACGTTCATACATACATGTATATACATAAAATCTACATCAGGTAGAAAAAAAGCACACCCTGTACTAGGGTTTATATACTAAATATATTTACATACATATGTATACATACAAACATACATATAAATACATACATATGTATACATATATGCATACATACATTTACATACATGAAGTACTCATTGCTTAAATGATTGAAGCTGTTGCTGATTGGGGCTTTCCTATTGGAAGATTAGAAGTTAGAATAATGGCTTTTGATTTCCTCAAAAATCGTAATAGTTTAAACAATTCCAAGTTAAAGATGCCTGGAGATGACTGGTTAAATTCTTTCACGAAACGAAATAAAATGACTGGCCTTACTAAAATTACTAATATTAAACGTTCAAGATTAAAGTTAGAAGTTGAAATTACAACAGATTTCTTTGATGAATTTGAAAAAAACTTATTAATTATTTGGTGATATTCCACCTTCAAATATATTTAACTTCGACGAGACTAATCTTTCAGATGATCCTGGAAAAAAGGTTGTTTTAGTTCGAAGAGGAAGACGACGTGTTGAAAATATCCAAGAACATAGTAAAACTTTATGTTTTATCTATTATGTGGTGTGCTTCTGGAGTAATGTAACCACCTATGGTAGTTTACAAAGCATTGAATGTATATCAAGGTTGTGTGACAGGAGGGCCTTACGGAACAGCATACAGTTGTACAAAAACAGGTTGGTTTGATATGGAAACCTTTGAGATATGGTTTATAGCATGCTTCTTGCCAAACGTTCAACATTTAAATGGGCCCAAACTACTTTTAGGAGGTAATTTGGCCTTTCATTTTAATGAAGACGTTATAAAACTAGCCAAGGAGCATAATGTTTACTTAGTTATGTTGCCCCCAAATGCCATGCATATAATGCAACCATTAGATGTATCTGTCTATGGTTCTATGAAGCGTTGTTGGAGGCAAGTATTAATTGAATGGAAGAAACAAAGCAGAAAATATAGATATTTTCCTAAAAAACGTTTTCCAGGTCTATTGAAAAGTTTATCTTTTAAGTTGAAAGACACTATATGTCAAAATTTAGTTCTCTTATTTCATACATGTGGAATATATCCAATAAATCGTTTAATCGTTTTAGAAAAGATGCCAGAGTTCCAGACACCAGGAGCATTGACAAAAACTATTTTAAACAATTCAGTAACAACTTTGTTAATG